GTGTGTATGTGTGGTACTGGGGATTGAACTCAGGGCCTTGTGCATGCTAGGCAGGCACTCTGTCACTGAGATATGTCTCCAGCCCCTAAATCAGTCTTTCTTTTCCTTTTTATTTTGGGGGGGGTGGTACTGGGAATCTAACTCTGGACCTTGTGCTTGCCAAGAAAGGCTCTGTGCCACTGAGCTATATCCTCGGCTGCAACAAGGTTTTGCATGCAGTTCAGGCTGGCCTTGAGCTCACTTTGTGGCCAAGACTGACCTCGAACTAACAGCGATCCTCCTGCCTCAGCCTCCTGAGTAGTGGGATTACAGGCATGTACCACCATGCCTGGCAATATAAGTTCCTTTACTGGTGCTTTTTACTTGTGTTTATTCATGAGAATTAAAATTACTATTTAGTGTCCTTTACTCTCAGCATAAAAAATATTCTCAGCACAAAATATTTAATATTTTAGTGCTGGCTACTAACCCTCACAGCTTTAGTTCATTTTTGAAAGATAGTTTTGCTGGACATAGAATTCTTGGTTGGCAGTTTTTTTCTTTTAGTACTTCGAGTATGTCATCTCACTGCCTTCTAGTATGCATTTCTGATAAGAAACCTACTGTTAACTCTGAGATTCTTTATACATGATGAGCTGCTTCTTTTTTTATACCATTTGAGATTTTCTTTACTTTTATCAGTTTATGATGTGTTGGTGTTGGTCTTGAGTTTATCTTACTTGGTGTTCACTGAGCTTCTTGATGTGAAGATTAACATTTTTCATCAAATTTTAAAAGTTTTTTTAAACAAAGATATTCTTTCTTTAGTTTTTCAAGACGGGGTCTTGCTACATAGTTCAGGCTGGCCTTGAACTCCTGGTGATTCTCCTGCCTCAGCCTCCCGAGTCCTGGGATTACAAGCATGCACCACCATGCCCAGTACATTTGGAAAGTTTTGACATTAATTTCTTTAAATGTTCTCAATCTTTCTCTACTTGTAGGATTTCCCTGATAAGTCTGTTGGTACAACTGATGGTGTCCCACAGGTCTCTGAAGCACTATTCATTTTTCTTCATTTTTTTTTTTTTTTGGTTGTTGTTCCACAGATCAGATAATTTCAATTGACTTATCTTCAAACTTGCTGATTCTTTTGTTTGCCTGCTCAGATTTTCTCTTGAATCCTAGTGACCTTTTCATTTCATCTGTACTTTCTGTTTTCAGAATTTCTACCTCGTTCTTTATAATTTCTATTTTCTGATATTCTGTTTGGTGAAACATCACTGTTGTACTTTAATTTAAAAAGAGAATTTCCTTTAGCTCTTGAATATGTCTCAAATAGCCAGCTTAAATGTCTACAAAGTCTAACACCTGGACTTCTTGTGCTGTTTCTATTGACTGCTCTTTTTTTTTTTTTTTTTTCCCGGCACGGGGGATTGAACTCACGATGCTGTGTTTGCCGGGCAGGCGCTGTGCCGCTGAGCTAAATCCCCAGCCCCTGCCTGCTCTTGTTTCCTTTGCATGGGTCATACTTGTTTTTTTTACATTGACTCGTAAATTTTGGCTGAAAATTGGACATTTCAAGCAATGTGGCATTCTCAAAGTTAAATTTCCCCATCTTCAGGGTTTGTTATTGTGCCCATTGTAGTAGCTGCTATTTAACAATCTTTCCAAATTTTGTAAAGTGTGTATTTACAGTGTGATTACTGAAACCCATACTTGGTTAGGAGAGTGGTTGGCTCAGGAGTGGATGGAGATTTTGGTAAACACCTGGCGTCAGTATGTCTCCTAGTGTTTGCTAAGGTGCTCTGCATACCTCGGTATATGCTTTCAATAGGCAGTTTGCAAATATGTAACAACTTTTATTTCTTGTTTTCACAGATCCTCCAGGTGAGCTGGTGATGAGAAGTTAGGGTCTTTGGGGGAGTTTCCTGAACACCTAATAGACCTATGCTTGCATGTGGCTTTCTTGTTTCCTCAAAATAAGCTGGAGCTTTTCAAAGCCTCTATGGGCATCTCATTCTTCAGCTTTGTTTAAGGCTATTTTCCCCAACTGTTATCCACTGCCTCAGCCAATCACGACATTAAAATAGTTGACCTGACTCTCCAACCCTTTCCCCCCTGCCATGGGAAGCACCTTTAGGACTGGACAGCTATGTGATGGAAATTTTAAAAAATTAAAAATTAGCCAGTAGTCTGACACCATATTAGGACAAAATAAGATCATGCAGCCCACCACGTAGCTCGTCTGTTAGACTATCTCAGCCTTGACTGACTGAACCAGAGCTAACCTGACCCAGCTCTGTTCGACCGCACCCAGCTGCACAGCCTGCACCTTCCTGCACCTTCCAGCCCCCGAACATACCCTGTTTGCTAACTTGTGTCAAGGACTTTCTGCTCAGCAAGGGAGAATAAGAATAACTGACGGTACCCAATAAAAATTCCCCACACTGGGCTGGGGGTTTAGCTCAGCGGCACAGCGCCTGCCTGGCAAGCGTGAGGTCGTAGGTTCGATTCCCTGTACCAGGAAAAAAAAAAAAAAAATTCCCCACACTTTTAAGCCTCTGTAGTTCCTACTCCCAAAGCCGGCTCCGGGCTGACGCTTTTTTCCTTTGGGTTCAGTACGGGTTCCTCAACAGCTGCAGAGTGCCTAGAGACAAGTCTTTTCGAGGGGTCTTCCAGGGAATACTAGATAGGTCGAATAATGACTTTTCTGTGGGAATAAGGCTTTGAAAGAGCACCGGTCCTCTCTGCCCTCCTGCTACAGGTGCAGGGAGCGTGAGCCAATATTTTTCAAGGTTGCCATGTAACTAGATGGGGAGATAGGAACAGGGTAAGTTAAATGCTTATACAAAGCTGGGTGTGGTGGTGCATGCATGTAATCCTAGCACTCAGGAGGCTGATGCAGGAGAATCACTGTGAGTCCAGACCAGTCTGAGCTACAAAGTGAATCCAAGGTGAGCCTGAATACAAAATGCTTATAAAGATTGCTGCTCTTATTGAGATTCAGCTTTTTCTTGACTAAATGCTAGACGAATTGGTGCAAGTCTTTGGTTAATTTCCAGAGCTCGAAAAGTTGACAACTTTTGCTAGCTTTTTTTTTTTCATTGCTTTTGTGAAAGGACCAACTCTGAAGTCCTCAACCCCCTATTTTCACTGACCTCACCTCTCCTTTAAAAAATGTTATTTTATTGCAAAACAATATCAGAACTGCAACTAAATTGCTGAAGTTAAAATATTTATACAATAAAAAAATTAAAGTCCAAGAGAAAACTTGCCCCTATACTGTTCCCTAATTCAATCGATTCATTTCCCTTTGTCCTTGTTACTATCTTGTCTTTCTTACACTTAATAATTGTGTACTTTTTTAGGGGGGGTGTTGGGGTTGAAATTAAAGACTTTTGTGCTGCACACAATCTATGCTCCCCAACTCCGTTTTAAAAACATTTTTGTAAAGCTGAGTGTGGTGGCGCACACCTGTAATTCCAGCACGCGGGAGGCTGAGGCAGGGGGATCATTGCAAGTTCGAGACCAAACTGAGGTACAAAGTGAGCTCAAGGCCAGTTTGAACTACACAGTGAGACCCTGTCTAAAAAAAACCAAAAAAATTTTTTGGAGGGGTAGTATTTCTTTTTTTTTTCTTTTCTTTTTTTTTTTTTCCGAACCGGGAGTAACTCACAACCTTGCGCTTGCCAGGCAGGCGCTGTGCCGCTGAGCTAAATCCCCAGGCCCAATTTTTTTTTTCTTAACCAATTTTGCATGCTTATATCTGGTAATCTGAACAACTAATCTGAAGACAATATGCAATACAAGAACCATTGTTGAATTCCTACTATCTTGTTTAGTGAAGCTTTGTATCATTTTTAATGTTTTTTTATTATTTTTATTGTCTGT